ACAGTTACCAAGGGGAAAGGGACTGGGGAGGATGGGTGGGAGCGGAGGGATAAGGGGGAAAAAGGGCATTATGATTAGCAGACATAATGTAGCAGGGGGACACAGGGAAGGCAGTATATACAGAGAAGACAAGTAGTGATTCTATAGAATCTTACTACGCTGGTGGACAGTGACTGTAATGGGGTATGGGGTGGGGACTTGATAATCGGGGGAGTCTAGTAAGCACAATGTTGCTCATGTAATTGTACATTAATGATACCGAAATAAAAATAAATAAATAAAATAAAAAAGAACTGTTAAAAAAATACAATAACTGAAGTGATAATTTCACTAGAGGGTCCAACAGTATATTTGAACAGGCAGAAGAAAGAATCGGCAAGAATTGAAAGTCGTTCCATTGAGATTATCCAGTCTGGGGAACAGATGAAGAAAAATTGAATAGAACTTCAGAGACTTGTGGGACATCAAAAAGTATAACAATGTATGCATTATGGAAGTGTCAAAGAGAGGCCAGAGGAAAAGGAACAGAAAGAATATCCAAAGAAATAATTCTTCAAATGCTGAACACTTCCAAAATTTGATGCAAGTGTTGGGTTACACATCCTGGTGTTCAATAAACTCCAAGTCGGATAAACTCAAAGAGAGCCACACCTTAGACACATAGTCATCAAACTATGGAAAGACAAAGACAAAGAATTTTGAAAGCAGCAAGAGAAAAGGGTTTCATCATGTACAAGTGATCCTTAGTAAGATTAAGAGCTTATTTCTCATCATCAGAAACCACAGGGGTCAGAAGGCAGGAGGGTATTCTAAATGCTGAAAGAAAAAAAACCTGTCAACTAAGAATTTTATAACCAGGAAAACACACTTTTCAGCAATAGAAAGAAAGTACTGATATATACCACAACATAGATGAACTTTGAAAAGATTATGCTAAGTGAAGGAAGCCAGACACAAAAGGGTGTTGTATGATTCCATTTATGTGAAATACAGAGAATAGGCAAATCCCTTGGGACAGAAAGTAGATTAGTGGTTTCTGTGGTGTGGGGGAGATGTGGGAATGGGGAGTGACTACTTAATGGGTATAAGGTTTCCTTTTGGGGTGACGAAAATGTGCTGGGGCTAGATAGTCATGATGGCTGCACAACATTCAACAACATTGTGAAAGCAGTAAGTGCTACTGAACTGTAGAGTTTAAATGGTAAATTTTATTTTATGTGTATTTCACCATAATAAAAGAGATGAAGGGAGTCTTTCAGGATGAGATGAAGGAACACTAGACAGAATCCCAAGTCCACATAAAGGAAAAAAGAGCACCAGTAAAGGTAGCTATGTAGGTAAATATAATTTTTTGTTTGTAACTCCTTTTTACTCTGATTTAAAAGACAAATGTATCATGCAATTACAAATCTAAATTGATGGGCACATATGTATAAAGATGTAATTTGTGATAATAGTGGCACATGGTATTAATCTGTTATAGATTAAAATGTTGATAGTAATCCCCAGGGTAACCACTAAGAAAGTAATTCAAACATATACAGTAAAGTAAAATTATCAAAATGATACATTAGAAAACATCTAATTAACATGAAAGAAGGTAGGAATGGGGGAACTGAGGAATAAGAAAGACATAAATAAAATAACCTAAAGAAAAAAAGCAAATTGGCAGATATAAACCATACCTTATCAGTAATTACATTAAATATAAATGGATTAAACTCTCCAAATAAAGGTAGAGATTGACAGAATGGATTAAAAAAATGATCCTATTATATGCTGTCTATAAAATATTCACTTTGGATTAAAAAAGAGCAGTATATAACCAATTGAATCAGAGGAATCCAGGAGTCCATACATATATAAACTGAAAGTTTGATACACATAGTTTCAAAGTGACTCTCTATGAAATGCTTAAAAACTAAAAAGAGGAAATAGTAATTACCGAGTGTAGTGGCAAGGACTCAGAGATCAACTTGCCTGTGTCCAGCTCCCAGCCCTACTGTTTACGAGCTGTGTGATGGCAGGCAGTTGCTTGCCCTCTCTGTTTCTCAGTTTCCTCATCTGTAAAGCAGGATAATAACTGCCCCTTTCTTGTAGGGTGATGTGTGAACTGTCAATGCCCTCCCCCAGCCAAAGACCACCAGGAATACACCTGTGGCTGAACAAATTCGGGTTTATTATTTGCGTTGAGGAAGAACACACCACAGAGATCTGTGGGCCACGGGCTAAGTGCGAGGACTTCTGAGTATCTATCATTAGAATAGGTGATTCATGCTCATTACTGGTGCACTGTATGAAATCTCAACATCCGTGGGAGGCGGGGTAATTGTTCCGTTGCCCAGCGGAGGAAGCTGAGGATCTGCTGACGTGGGGCCGGAGCTCCCAGCCCTGGACAGGGCCTGGAAGAGTGCCTTCTGGCAGCAGAGTCGCCCATGCAGCTTCTGCCCCACCCTACGTGACCTCTCTCCCACTTGCATCTGGCCCTTCATCTTCCCCCCCGCCTCAACCTTTCTGAGAGGAAGTGGTCTCCCCGTCCTGTTGCAGTTCTTCTTCCTGAACTGGGAGGGATGGACTGCAGAGGACGGGCTGCGGGGTGGAGGGGCGGGGGGGGCTCCAGGGGGTTATAAAGGCCATAGTCCAGAGAGGAGACAGGAGCAGAGAGCAGAGGGAGATGGCAGGGATGTGTGACGCCGAGGAGCCAGATGGCTCCAGTGAGCGCGGGCCCCGACTGTGGGGTGATGGTGGGGAAGGCAGGGCGCCAGGGTCCTGGGGGGACTCTGGGTCCGGCCTGACATCAGGGTCCAGCAGGATCAAAGCTCGGCTGAATGTGTTTTGTCCTATTCAGAGGAGATATTTGAGAGCCGGCGATCAATGCAGAAAAACCTTGGGTTATCCTGGAACTCCAGAAGCTTACCAGGTACTGAGGCGGGTGGCACCCGGGAAGGCGCCCTGCAGGCTGGGCGGGGTGGCGCAGGGTCTGTCCCGAGCCCCCAGCCCCGCCCATTTGCCGGTGCCGCAGGATGTCTGGCGCGGGCCCCTCTTGTGCTGCTTCTCACCGCGCTGGGCTTCTTCCTGCTCCTGGTGACCACTCTGGTTCAAGGTGAGTCAGGGGCTGGGGGCTTGGAGACAGGCCACTTTGCGTTTTGCCTCTGGAATGGTCTTTGCCCTTTTCTACAGTCCCGGAACCCACTAGGGCTGGGGCTCTTGGGCTCCATGTCAGCTCCTGTGTGACCATGAGCTGGTGACTAGCCCTCTCTGAGCCTATTTCCTCGACTGTGACACGCAGCTCATTTTCCTCCATGGATGGGGGTGCTTAGACTGTTGGAGACCTTGAAACAGGGCCAGACACGGTCAGGTCTACAGTCAGCGCTCAGGGGTATTCTCTGCTCTGTCGTAGTCTCCAGGCTCCAACAGTCCCTGCAGGGAGAGAAGCCGGACCCTCAGGGGAGCCAGTGCTTGGGTGAGAGGCTGCACAGCAGGTTCCGGGGTGGGAGAGGGTCCCAAGGCTGCATCACCTTGGACAAGGTGAAGGGAGGGAGCACAGAAGCTGGGGAGGAGACTGGACCCCCTGTAAGGGGTCCCGGAGGGCTGCCGGTGTCCGGCAAGTCATTCTCAGAGCCTCAGTTGTATCATGGGCTCTCGGGAGTGAAATCCATGGATAATGTTCTCCGGGGCCCTCTCTGCACCAAGCACACAGTAGGTGCTTAATAGTCGAAGTCCCCTTCCAGAGGATGTGTCTCAGAAGCAGAGACAGTCAGGCTTTGAGGACATCCTCCAGCAACTGACCTGGATGAATGCCACCCTCGGTAAGGGCCAGATGCTCAGGTCAGAGGGGAGGTTCAGGGTTGCAGGTGGGGCTGGGGACCCCCCTTCTCTGGCTGCCAGTCTGAGGAGGAGCTTTCTCATGAGCTTCTTGGGGACTGAGCTAAGAGCTGAACAGGAGGGCAGCCCTGGGTCCCTAAGGTCTGAAGCAGGCATCGGGGGTGCAGGAGCCGAGCTGCGGTGCCAGCCCCAGCCTCTCCCCACCTCCCCAGCTGGCCTGTGCCGCCCCTGCTCCTGGAATTGGGAGTTCTTCCAGGGAAACTGCTACTTCTTCTCCCAGACCAAGGACGCCTGGAAAGCTTCCGTCGCCGCCTGCCAGGGCATGAAGGCCCAGCTGGTGATCGTCAACACGACTGAGGAGCAGGTGGGCCGGGCAAGGTTCCGGTCTGGGGCTGGGCCCTGCGACTGGTCAGCAGAAAGCCTTCTGCCACCGCCCTCTGCCCCGTGAGAGCTGGAGGCTCGGTGGCCAAGCTGGGGTGGGGAGGCACAGTCAGGAAAGGCTTCCTGGAGGAGGAACCATATGGACTTGGAGGTCACGTGGAAGCAGAACAAGTATGAGTGCAGCCCATGTAAGGGCAGAAAGGGAACTCAGGCTACCCTTGAGATCACCTATAATCCGTCCCCGCACTTTGCTGCGAACTGAGACACCAGCTACCCCGTGGCATACGTGGATGCACATGAACACATCCGTGGCATACACACACACACACGTGAGCACATACGACCTAAGTCGGGCAGTCGGCTGGACTGCAGAAAGAACTCCCCTGGGAGCAGGGCACCATGGGGATGTGGGCAGACATGGCCCGGATGGGTGGCATTCAGGGTTCTTCCTCCTGACGCCCTCCCACCCCACCCCAGAAATTCCTGACCGTTTGGAATGCTAGAAAGAACCAGCGCATCTGGATCGGACTCAGCGACCACCACAGCGAGGGGGCCTGGAAATGGGTGGACGACACCCCACTCCTGCTCAGGTGAGCTCCCCGAGACAAAGGCCCCAGGAGGGGTGGGCAGGTAAGAGACCCGCACCCCGAACCGGGGCTGCTCAGACTCAGGGACTGGAAATTATCCTCCAAGGGCCTCGGTGGAGGCGCACAGCCGGGGCTGCACCCCGGGATGAGGGTGGGGGTCCCATTCTCTAAGTCTAGGTCGGAGGCCCGGGAATCTGCATCCTTATTTGGCCGGAGCTGGTTCTGGCACAGGCGACGCTTGAACCCACACGTTGAAAACACTGCCTCTGAATTCCTCAGCACCTTCTGGCTGGTCCTTGGACCTCTGCTGTCAAAGGCCGGGCACCAGTTTCTCAGAGGGTGGGTTGGGGTGGGCTCTGTGGTGGGGCTCACCCCCTGATGGTTTTCACAGCTTCTGGCAGGAAGGGGAACCCAACAATCATGACAATGAAGACTGCGGAGAGCTGAGCGGAAATGGCTGGAATGACAATAAATGTAGCACAGAAAATTTCTGGACCTGCGAGAAGCCCTCGACACCCTGCCCTGAGCTCTGAGGGCCACCGTCCCGACCCCACCCCTCATCCTGGCCCCCGGCCCCACCCACCTAGGGACCTAGGGTTTCCCCTTGGGCGAATTCCCATCCTCCTGAACCAAGATCTTTGAAATCCTTACAGTCTAACACCTCTTTCTCCTCGAAGGGCCGTTTCTCAATAGTCTGTAGACCACCTTTCTTCTTCCGTTGGTGGTCTCAGCTCCCTGCCCCCTCATGACACCCCGTTAATAAAGTCACACGTTGCTGTATGCATTTTGGTGTATTTACCATCTATATCTTTGCCAATTAGTTCCAGTTACTATACGTTTATTATATGTGTCATGGAAACTAGAACATTGCCTTCTTTCAAGATGTTTTTCTCTATCACTGTGCATTTTATTTCCCAGATACGGTTTTGAGCCAGTGTGTAATTTTGGTCGGGAATATGCGTCTATGTAGTATATGCCTATCTATCTATCTATCCATTCATTCAAGAACCAGTTATTTGCTCAGGGACCTTGAAAATGGGCTTCAGGGAAGGTTCATGATTTTCTTCATATATCTATTTAAGACACGTTATTTCTGGGTGTGTGTTTTCATTGCCTATTGATGCTGCAGAAACAACACACATTTATTATCTTCCAACCCTGGGAGTTGGGGGTCCAGCGTGGGTGTCATTGGGCTGATTGCATCAGGGCTGCATTCNAGGGAAGGTTCATGATTTTCTTCATATATCTATTTAAGACACGTTATTTCTGGGTGTGTGTTTTCATTGCCTATTGATGCTGCAGAAACAACACACATTTATTATCTTCCAACCCTGGGAGTTGGGAGTCCAGCGTGGGTGTCATTGGGCTGATTGCATCAGGGCTGCATTCTAGGAGATTCCAGGAGATTTAGCAGAGATTCTAGGAGAGAATCTGTGTTTTTGCCTTTCCCAGCGTCTAGAGGCCACCTGCATTCCTAGCCTGGGGACTCCCTTAGTTCTTCAAAGTCTTTCTCGCATTTCATGGATCGAAAATTCTTCGGCTGCCCTGGCCCACATTTTAAAGACCCTTGTGATTACCGCCGGCTCCGTGGGCAGCGCAGTGCAATCTATGTTACGGTCAGCTGATCAGTGACCGTATTTCTCTCGGCAGCCTTAATTCCTGGTTTTCCACGTAGCACAGCATGTCCACAGTTTCTGGGGATTAGGACCCAGACATCCTTCAGGGGATATTATTTTGCCCACCTCATTGCATTTCTCGTTATGCTAAATAGGATACATCTCAATGACTGATGGGAGTTGATGGATAATACCCCACCCCTGTCTGCTCTTGACTTAGACAACTCTGAGGCCGTGTTCCACACGAGCTTGCAGAGGTCAGCCGCGGCCAGCTGCCCACCTTGTCAATAACGCCCACTCTTTTGTGTGACTTCTGTCCCTTCTCTGTGCCACTTTTCCACTTCCTCCCTGGCGCTCTCCAAGGATGTGACACCACAAAGAGACCTCTTGCACTGAACTCCTGTCTCAGGCTCTGCCCCTAGGGGGAGTGGGCCACATTCAGGTTGGGTGTATGTGACTCATTCTGAATGGTGTGCCAGAACCACACCTGCTCAATGGGTGGGCTGAGACTCGATGGACTCGGACATTTCAGAGTGAGTGGCCACCCCCTTGCAGTCTCTTTTCCAGCCCTGGCTACCCTGGTAGCCACAGCGATAACTCAGACACAAGATAGCTTCGCTGACCCACAATAGATTCTTGAAGAATCTGCCAGAAGGTGTGCTTCATGCAACAATGGGATGATCATTTCTTACAGAGGCATGGATTAGAACTTCGGAGGCTATTTCATTATTAGCAAATGTACCAAGGATGATGACGGCCAGGTTTCTCTGTGTTGGAGAAAGAAGTTACAAACAAGGACAGGAAAAAGGCTAGAATGAACTTGGAGGGGTTGGACTGGAAGTCTAAATGTTTGCAATTTCTCTGTCTGGATTCACTAAGTTCTTTTTTTTTTTTTTTTCTGTTAACGGGGCATTTTAGGAGCTATGCAGTTCAATGGTGCCCTCTTCTGCCACCGCAATAAATGTACTTACTTCAGTGGGGTTTTTTTGTTTTGTTAGTGGAGGGAACAGGTTGAGAAACCACCAATTTACCGGTTTTGTTTTGTCTTGACACATGTGTGGCTTCCCCAAAGCTCCTGCCCACCCCTGAGGGTTTCTCTGGCCATGGAATTGTGCTCAGTTCTCAAAAGAGCCAGGCAGGGAGCTGATGCTCCTGGGGACACCCCTCGACTGGCAGAAACGGGTGGCCCCGTGCCCCCAGCTCTCACTCCTGGGTGGGGACAACTCCTGAGGCAGGGAGGCTCCCAGAGGCCTGTCCCCAGCAGAACGGAGGTCCTGCCCCTGTCCTTCCTTTTCCCCCTTTCTGTAAAGTGGAGGTCATATTATCTACTCCAGGGTGGGAAGATTCAATGAGGTCATATACAAAGTAGTTAGAAAGGTGCTCAACTATCGTAGGCATTAAACAAGCCCACATTTATGATTCAGCCGCAACTCCCAAGAGCAGTCCAGGAATCACCGTAAATGATGCCACCGATAAGCCAAGAAAAGCAGACTGTGGAAGTCAGAGGGGCTGGGGGCTCCAGGAAGATTGGGGGCTCTGCCCGCCCCCCTATAGCCCTTTGTGGAGGTGACATAACTAGCTTCTTTTTCCTTGTGATTTCCATGGATTTCACCAAGAACGTTCCACATGCAGCCGTGCCACATGGGACCACCTCTCCTGGCTGCCGACCCCAGACCACACGCGTTGCCTCCCCAGGATTCCTGGAAGGTTCTGTCCATCTCTTCCAGGTCAAAAGCTCTATCCTCTTTCCTCTAAGTTTTTCCAGTGGCACGTCACTGCCTGTTGTCTGTTTCTCTTCGGCATCACAGAGTAGGAATAAAAACTGTGGTCCCCAGGAGGTCATGGGCATGCACGACTCCAAGGGGCTCATGGTACAGCAGCGGGGCACCCTGGGCAAGGCCGCCTGGGGCCCTGGGCTCCTGGGGAGGGGCAAGGGCTTGGCTGGCTCTGGTCACAGCTTGCCCAGGCTGAGTCAGCGCTCTGCCCGTTCAGAGGAGGAAAAGATGTGACCAGCAGGACTGAACATTCTCCCAGAGACTTTGACTGGGACAGATCTGGCTTCCAGAACTTCTCAGGTGGAACAGGATCTGGAGGTGGGGAGCAGGGTGTGGGCACCGACAGATTCTGGGGGCCTGTGGAGGTAAGGCTGGGGCAGGCTTTCCCTTGCACGTGCCGACGCAGGGACACACGCATGCTGGAACTGCCCATCTCCTCTTCCTAGGGTCTGGGGCTCCCAGACCTGGGCTTTGGCTGCAGGCATAACCTTGGGAGGGTCCATTCCTGGGGGAAGAGAGGGCCAGAAGCCAGGACTTGTGACCCTCTGGGTTTCCCTGGTCAGCTGCCCACTGGCTCTCCCACCTCTGGTGCAGGGGGAGCTGGAGGGGGGATGAGTCCCGGCCCCCCCAGGGTGCACCCCTTCTCCACGTGTCAGTCTTCCTCAACTTCAAACGGGATTAACCAAGATCTTAACTCTCAGAAACGATGCCCTTGAGGGCCCAGTGCAGGGCACGGAACATAGTAGGTGGTTAATAATTGCTGTTTCTTTTTTTTTCCTTGGCACGGTCCCCAAGATCCCCAGGTCCCAGGGGCTGGAGCATTCAGGGTCCTAGGGCCTGGATGGATCTGCGGGGTCCCATGACTCTGCTAGGGTCACTGCTCCTCTCTGAACCTCGGTGTCCTCTTCTGTGAAATGAGAACACCGCAGAACGAGGATGATTATACGTGGTGTTCCCAGCGGGCCAGGCACACTGTGAGCACTAAATTAAGCCAGGCTCTGGGTTGGATTCCTGGGTTCTCCTGGGGCTGAGGGAGGGTCTCAGGCCTGCAGAGAGGGATGGGCCATGCAGGGTGCAGAATCAAGACCGTGACACTAAAGGGTTCGGACAGTGGGCAGACAGAGGGTGGGGTGCCCCGAGCTGAGTCCCAGCCCTGACCTGCCTACCCCAACAGCCCACCTTTGCTGCCTCTCGGGAGTGGTTACTTTTTCTCCAGTTCCAAAGGCAACTGGAACGACTCTGTCGCTGCCTGCCTGGAAGTGGGGGCCCACCTCTTGTAATCAGAAGTGGTGAGGAGCAGGCATTTGCTGGGACCCAGCCTGGTCTGGGACATGCCTCTGGCCACCGGCCAGCTGGAGATGAGATAATTAGAGGGGATTTTCTGGAAGGGAGGCTGCTTAATCCATGTGCAACACCTGGTGGGAGAAGGGTATGAATCCGGGGGTGCCAGGCACCTTGCAAGAAGATACGAACAAGGTCTGAACACACGTGTGAGTGTTTGGGGGCATGCATAGGATATAAACAAACCTCAGGGATGGCGAATGTTTAACCACTAGCTCTCTGGGCTGGGGGGAATAAGTCCTGAATGGAAATGTTTGCCAATTTCCCTGGTGTAAACATTCCTGTTTCCCACCGTGGCTGATTTCAAGTCATCAGTATGGAATGGACAGAGACAGGGGGTCAGCTCTCAAGGCTTGGTTCTCCCTTTTCCAGGACATTAAACTGTCTTGAGTAACTTCACTCAGAGATGCTTAGCCCCTGGAAAACCCAAGTGTGCGTGCGTGAGATGGGAGACCCACTCTGCACGTATGTCTGCAAGCTGGAAGGTGTGTGCTATAGGATACAGACGTGAGGGACACACTCAGACATCCTGAGCGCCTGTGGGGCTCTGGATCTGGGATACTAGAAGGCAGAAGGTGGGCCTGAAAAAACTTCCTGCCAAGAGACCAGGGACATGCTGAACCCAGGAAGTGGGGGCCCAGAGCTCTCTACTGACCTCCCCGCTCCATCCCCCCAAATTCCTCATCAGCGGACTTCCAAGAATCACTGCTCAACCTGGGTTGGACTCTCACACCTGTGACATGAAGGCACGCGGCACTGGGTGGATGATGGACCCCTGTCGTTCAGGTAAATCTCGGGAGAAGGGGATGCTCGGTCACATCTTGGTGAGGTCCTCAAACCCGCATGTGAGCTTTACCTGGGGATCCCCCCGACTTCCTGACTCCTAGACCTAAGGGTTTGGGACTTTCACTGAGTGGGGGAAGGCAGTCTTCTCATACCCACATTCAGACAGGACAGCAGGTGCCCCCAAAGCCACACTCAGAGCTGCAGGAGGAGCTTGCGGACCGGGTGGGTGCTTGTAAATGGAGTGTATGCATAGACTGTCTGATACG